ATTCCTGTTGTTTTGTCAATACCCCTAAAATCAAACTTCAACTTATTTATAGAATGATATTCAAAAAATAATGATTTGTAGAATCTACAATATAGATACACTTGTAAATAATGACACAAATATGAATTTGTACAGAAACGGAACAAAATCTATAGAAGATGATAGAAGTAATATAAGATCTTTTCGTCTTAAAAAATTGAAAATTTTTAAAAAGTCAATTCGTGAAAAAAATTATATACGACCGCGACACCAAAATATTATCTTACAAAAATAAGWTTGCTAAAWTATTGTGCAACCGAAAAAAATACTATTCTTTCAAATTCAAAAATGTTTGATATGTATTAAATTTGTTCAATTTCTTTTTTTCAGATTTATTAATGGCATTATCGAATTTGATCGAAAAATTACACCACTTTCTACCAATTTGTTAGTCACACAGCATTCATTGAATAAAAAACAGTGGGGCAGGATTTTTACTTTGTTCATTGCATACCTAATTGGATTTAAATGCCTACAAATATATTTATATCCCATGAAGATAGTAAACATTAGTTCATTGGTACACAGTTTAGTATTCGCTCCGCCATATGTTATGGATTCCACAGTGACGATTGTTTCGTGTTACTTCCTTCAAAACTTGTACTTTAGATTCCAGACATTAATCGATTTTTGGAATTGTCTTCCAATAGAATTAGTTGCTGTTCCYGGCCAATGGACACACATTGAAATAGTGTTTTTGATGGAAAATACTCGGCTATTGCACTCCGAACTCTGTGAATTGTCACAACAATTTACTCAAGGTTACGGCCTATTGCTTTTGGGTTTCTACACATTCAGCTTCATTAGTATGCTGATCGGAGTTTATTTTATTGTCAACAACGACCCATTATCCAATACAAATACAATTGAAAAATTTCGAGTAGTGATTCCACTCGTAGTTCACGCACAAATGTTCACGTTCATGGTGTCTATTATCATTTCTGTTTCATACATAAACGAAAAGGTACGTAAATAAACTATTATATGTGTGGATTGAAAAAAGCACTCTCATACACACATTTTTTTAATTATCGAATTATTCATATTTTGATTTTTAGAATTTTAATTTTCCAAGCACATTTTATTTACCATATTTCCAACTGATAGACTTAATAGATTAATTTAATTTAATTTTAAAGACACAATATTTGAAAAATCTAAGACTTCTTATTAAATTTAATGAGTACCTATATTATAGACGGTATATCATGAAGTATATAATGATAAGTATATACAAAATTACTAATTTACAAACGAGAAAAATTATTGTAAATTGTTAAGGAGATTGTTTTTTWAATATTATGTTCTAGAAATATTAATCAATATATGGACAAGTAGTTTTTGAGCAGGATATATTGTATAGTATACTATAAACTATATATTAAAAATAAATGGATAATTGTATTTAAAAAAAAGKATTTTTAATTTATTTTTACAGCGAATAATGATGATATCATATTTACGATTATACCGAATTTCAAATTTACACTTGGACATAAAACGTCAAGTAAGATTTTTTTATATGAGTAGTTTGCATGCTTTGAAAAATTATTTCTTAAATTACGAACGGTGTATTTGTTTTTGTTTTATTGTTAATATATTTTAATCATTCAGATCAGAATGTTTATGAATCAAATATCAGCCTATGAATTGGATCAAATTTCGGCGTTTGGATTTTTTCATATCAATTTAAACCTTGTTACATCAGTAAGTACTTTTATAGACTTAATTTATCATATTAAAACTGCATATTATTTTGTTTGTTTATAATAACGTTGTGTTTTATACCAAAGTCCAAAATACTTAAAAGTACAAAGTATGTTTTATGTGTTAGGTTAGGTTAAGTTAGGTTAGGTTAACCTAACCAGTTAATTTTGGAATTTATTTTTTTCATTTATAATAAATATTGAGGATTTCGTCGTTTAGAGAATATTATACTACATTTTTAAATTATGTTTGTTTACAGATTATTGTTTTATTGATAACTGGAATATCAACAATGGTTCAGATGAAAGATCACCCAATAATATTACAATTGAACAACGACACTAAATCGTTTTTGACAAAATTATTTAAAACGTCAAAAATTAAATTAAATTAAATACTTTTATAATTTAGATAAMTTAACCTAAATAATGAATGAGAAGAATGTATGATCCTCTAATCCTGACGAGAAATAGTAGGATATTATTACCATTACGTAAGTCCCTGCACAAAAAATACACGCTTATGTCATATTCCATACGAATATATAAAAAATTAAAATATGCTATTTATATTTCATAAAAACATATATTATATACAAAAATAAAATGTGTCGATAAAAAAGAAATATATTTATTCACTTAAATCAGATTTAATACTGACAACTTAAATGTAGTTAAGTAWGGTTAAAATTTGTATGTTTTTGTGTTACATAAYAACCGTCTTTAATCCAATTTTTAACAATCAATGAATACTGAGAATACTGAATTCAATAAAATGGGTTAGGTTAGGTTAGGTTAGGTTAGGTTATTTCGTTTATGTTTATGTTATATTATTTTGTTGATTATTGTAACATACATTAGTGTATTGTAATCCAGTGGCGTGGTGAACTCAAATATTATCAGAGGAATGTAAATTTTTCGATAGAAACCCATCACCCATCCACCTACCAACATTAGCCATCCAACTATTTTTGAACATTGCATTTTTATCTCTCTCTTAAAATAAAAAAAACATGTTTGGTGGACGGGGGATGATTGCCTCTCGTAGACAATTTTATAACCAAACAGATAATTTTACGAGATTAATCAAAATAACATGAAATGAGACAATATCTTTTAAAAGATAACTTTTCTTTGTATTTTAATGGGGGGTAATTTGTACAACATTCTTGTGAAACTAAACTATTACTGGGCGCCCGGGAATTGG